TATCCACAGCTGAATTTAAGGAACACTGAGCATCCCCTGAAGTCATCAGTTGGAGAAAAAAGGATTAAGAGAAGGAGGTGAGAAGAGGGCTTCATCCTTTAGGAAGGAAATTTCCTGGGCTAAAGATAAAAATGCAGAGAAAATGAAAACAAACAAAATAATAACCAAAACAATAAAAATAAAAAAGTAAAACTCATTGTTGTTAAGTCAGTCTTGATTCATAGTGACCCCTCCTTGGGTTTGAGGAGGTATCTCTAAGCGAGTAGATTGCCCAGATTTCCTTCTGAGGAGTGGCTGGTGGGTTTGAACCACCAGCCTTCTGGTTAGCAGTCAAATGCCTTAAGCACTATGCCACCAAAGCGTCTAGTATCAACAATAATAGGGAAAATAGCCACGGGTCCAGAATAGGAAAGAAGAGGGCAGGGAAGGGGGAGTAGCAGTGCTGGAGAGGCCTGGATTCCTTTGCAACACACTTGAGAAGCAGAAATATCAGGGGAAAGCTAAACATCACTCACTCAGCCAAGTTTAGAAGAAGGCAGCAGAGGTTGGGACAGCAGGGACTTTTTATACTTGAAGGCATGTCCTGAGGGCTTTCCCTTCCCTCCCCCAACAAATGCTCTGACAGTACTTGGAGGGTACTTGGGAGGGTCAAGCTTAGAGAAAGAGCCAGAGACAACCTCCAGTGTGTTTCCTGCCTTCTCTTTGGTTCTCTCTCTGAGGAAATCTTTCTGCTTTTCTTTTTCTCTCCTTTCCTCTGTTCTTGGCAGCCTCACAAGCCTGTCACCTGCTTTGTCAAGAACTGCCAAATTTCAAGAAATCTCTCATCATAGGCCTTTTTTACATTTCTTCAACAGAAAGAAGTGGAAAAGTTGTGTTCAGTTAAAGGTCCTTGTTGGCATCAGCCTCGGTACCATTGCATCGGGTACCATTGGGTTCCCAAGGAGGTAAATCTTTACAGAAGTAGATTGCCCAGTCTTGCTTCCATGGAGCAGCTCATGGGTTTGAACCACCAACCTTCTGGTTAGCAGTCAGATGCCTTAGGCACTGGGCTACCAGAGCTCCTTAAGATTTATAGCCTTAGGAACTCATTGGGGTTCTCTATGAGTTGGAAATGACTCGATGCCAGTGGTTTTTTGTTTTGTTTCATTTTTTATATAAGAAGAAACATAGGTTAGACGGTTCCAGCATTTCTTCGGTGGCTCAAAAATGTGATTATAGCACAGATTCTTTCCCACCTTCTCATTCATCACTCTTAGAGTTTGGCTCCAAAGACATAAGATGATTGACCTAACTCCACGGTCACAAGATGGTTTTCACAGCTCCAGACATCTCATCCTCACACCAACCTCCCAAGCAAGAAGGGTCATGAAAAAAGCCTTTCAGTTTTGAGTATCTGGTTTTTATTCAGGAAGCAAATTTTTTTTTTTTTTTCTCAGAAGGTCCAAGCACATTTTCCTTTTTGTCTTCTTGATCTGATTTGTTTGGCATGCTCCTTCAACTCTACCCCATGCAAAGGTGAGTAGGAAAGTGAATACTTGGCCAAGAGGAGCATGGATGCCATCATTGAATTAAACAATGATTTATCCTTTAAGACTGGGTACATTGCTCTCCTGAATGAAATGAGGATTCTGTTAGTGTAGAAAAGGGGGAGGTTGACCATTGGGTAAGCAATTAACTGTATCAGTCAGAGCTAAAACACTCGTCTTCTGCTTCCACTGTTGCCAATCTCTCTGGCTTCCATATTCACCCCTTGGCTTTTCTTTTCCAGAGGTGCCATCTGATGAACAGTTATATCTTCTACATACAGCTTGAGAATGGGACCCAGGGGTTCCGTTTAAAACAATGGTTTTCCCTCAATGACCATGGAAGAGGTAAGGTAAAGGAAAAGGGAGAGAAGGGAAGAAAGAGAGATGACTCAGACTCAGAGTTGGATTTGATAAGTAGATTAACCCATTTGCCCATTCAACAAATATTAATAGCTCCTTTATGTGCCAGCCATTGCTCCAAGCACTGGGATTCAGTGGAGTGCAAATTAGACAAGATCTCATCTTTCATGGAACACATATTCCAATGGAAGAGATAGTTAATACATTAATAATAAATATATAAATAAACATATGTGTGTGCATAGGGGCTGAAAAAAGTTATTAAAAAAAACCCAAAAAACACAGGGCAAGAGAAAAGAGTGTGATATAAATCTCTGAAAAATCGGGAGAAAAGATCTTGTGTGTGGGGAACTGTGTAGCTTTCTGGGGGATATGGAGAGGGAAAGCTCTGAAGCTGGAGGGTTGGTATAACTTAGAGGAATCTGAGATATGTAGATAACACAACCTTGCTTGCTGAAAGTGAAGATGACTTGAAGCACTTACTGATGAAGATTAAAGACTATAGTCTGCAGTATGGATTATGCCTCCACATAAAGAAAATGGAAATCTTCACAACTGGACCAAAAAGCAACATCACAATAAATGGAGAGAAGATTGAAGTTGTCAAAGATTTTGTATTACTTGGTTCCACAACACCAATGGAAGCAGCAGTCAAGAAATCAGACGATGTATTGACATATTGCACTGGGCAAATCTGCTGCAAAAGACCTCTTTTAAGTGCTGAAGAGCAAAGATGTCTCTTTGAAAACTAAGGTGCCTAACCCAAACCATGGTATTTTTAGTAGCCTCATTTGCCTGTGAAAGCTGGACAATGAATAAGGAAGACCAAAGAAGAGTTGATGCTTTTGAGTTGTGGTGTTGGTGAAGAATGCTGAAAGAACCATGGGCTGCCAGAGGAACTCACAAATCTGTCCTTGAAGAAATGCAGCCAGAACACTCCTTGGAAACGAGAATGGCCAGACTTAGTCTCACCTACTTTGGTCATGATGTCAAAAGGGACTATTCCCTGGAGAAAGATATCCTGCTTGGTAAAGTGGAACCAAAAAAACCAAACTCACTGCCATTGAGTTGCATCCAACTCATAGCAGCCCCTCCTTGGGTTTCCAAGGCAGTATTTCTATGGAAGTAGATTGCCCAACCTTACTTCCGAGGAGTGGCTGGTGGATGTGAACTGCCAGCCTTCTGGTTAGCAGTCAAATGCCTTATGCACTACACCACCACACAGTGAAAAATGGGAATACTCTCAACAAGATGGATTGATATAGTGACTGAAATGATGGGCTTAGGTATAGCAAGGATCGTGAGGCTGGTGTACAATTGGGCAATGTTTTGTTCTGTTGTACATAGGGTCACTATGAATTGGAGCTGACTCGACGACACTTAACAACAACAGAGGAATGCCAAAGATGCAAGTGTGGGCAGAGTGAAATGGGCAAAAATCATAAATGAGGTCAGAAATATAGCCAGCAGACAGTTGATGCAGGGTTTTGTCAGCTATGATAAATACTTTGAGTTTTAGTTTATGTGTAATGGGCAGTCACTTAAAGTAATTTGGACAGGTGAGTGACATGATCTTATTTATATTTTAAAAGGCTCGCTCTAGCTGCCATATAAAGTATAGAGTTATTATTACAATAAGTACCATACAATTGAATGAAATATTTACAACAAATTTTGATAAATAATAAATAAACACCAACAATGTATTTCTTCAGTGAGAAAGATAGGCTTTTTTTTTCCCCGAGTAGATTATGCACTAATAGATGAATAATACTAGAATGAGATAGGGTTTAGAATCAAATATGTATTTTTTCTTTACACAGTTGTAGATGCTGAGATACCTACTTCTCATAATTTAGTAGATAAAAAGTGAAATAATTTTATTGGAAGGAAGATTGGGCAATCTATTTCTGTAGTGATACTGCCTTGGAAACCCAGGGACCCAGGGAGGAGTTTGAGTCAGATCTGACTTGATGGCAATGAGTTTGGGTTTTTTTTGGTCATGTCATTCAAGTTCTGTGAATTCCTTTTGAGTTATTTTTCATAAGTCACACTGTGATTTTTGTTATTAAAAGTTATTTTTGACAGCTGGATTACGTAAATACTATAAAGGCCGAGAACTGCAAGCCTCCTAACTTGTGAAAGGATTTGTTGCCAGTGACTTGATCCTTCACAAACTCAACAAGGGCACCAATAATTTGAAGTGCTCCTTTCAAAACTTTTATAGCCCAATGCAATACACCTTGGTAAGAGTCAATGACTAACTAGTAAGGGCTTTGCTTTTCTTTTGTTATGTAGGAGAAGGGGTATGGTCAAAAGAGTGACCTTAATCAAAGCAGATCTCAGGCAGATAAGCTTAAGGAGCACCTTAAGAAGCTGAAAATGTGGAAAGTGATTCCATTAATGCTATTCCATTAAGGTTTTTAGCCTGCCTGCTAAAAACAAACAAGCAAACAGAAACACAAATCCACTGTTGAGGAGTCGATGAGTTGGTTCCAACTCACAGAGACATTATAGGACAGAGTAGTACTGTCCCATAGGGTTTCCAAGGCTATAATATTTACAGAAGCAGACTGCCATATCTTTGTCCTGCAGAGCGTCTGGTGGGTTTGAACCACTAATCTTTTGGTTAGCAGGTGAGTGCTTTAACAGCTGTGTACCAGGGCTCCCTGAACCTAGTTGGGGACCCATTTTTCTAGTTGGTACGCTCCATAAGTGCATGCACATTATTTTCTCTGTACTGCTAGTGCCTGGCTTGGAGCCATTAGCCCTTTGTTAAATAATGAGAGAGACTGGGGCATCAATCTCAGTTTTTTCCATTTTCTCTATTTCCTTCTTACAGCATTCCCACCCTGCACCATCCAATATGCTAAGCTAAGGTAGAATAATTGGGATTTCAGAAACATTCCTTGACTTGAGTCATCCCAAGTCAGGGGCAAAAACATGAAAGACATAAACACAGTTTATGAAACACATAAACATCATCTTTATTATTTACCGAGCAGGATTGCAACAAATGAAGGAATTTAGGATGAGGAATCAGAGTTCGAGTCAGTTTTTCTTCTTGGGATCCTGGTTTCAGGCTATAAAAGTGGATACTCAGTTTCCTCCCTCTTAAGACACGTGGCAGCAGCGGGCTGTGGTCCAGTCTACCACACTGCACTGGCAGTGGCATGTACTTTCCCCTTGCACATCCCAGGAACCACAGGCAAAGCCACAGGCACAACCAGTGACAGCAGTCCCTGTGTGAGTTCATAAGACATGGCATCAGAACCCTTACACTTTAAGAGGAGGGAAATCTACCCATAACCATCTTTCATCCATGTATAACCCAGAGGTAGGTCTAAGTTTTGTGGAGCCTAAGGCTCTGGTAGTGTAGTGCCTGCGGCACTTGACTGCTAACCAGAAGGCTGGTGGTCAAACCCACCAGCCACTCCTCAGAAGGAAGATAGGACAATCTACTTCCATAGCGATATTGCCTCGGAAACCCAAGAAGGGGTCGCTATGAGTCTCCGACTCGATGGCACATTACAACAACAAGGCAAGTTCAATTTTGAGAGCACTTAAAAGAAAGAAAGAATTACAACAGTTACTAAAACAAATTTATATATAGGACCTTGGAAGAGACCCTTGCAAATGGGGAGCCTGGGAGTTTTAGTTTCCTTAGATTCATGATAAATCCCCCTCTGATTTTGCCTCTACTCACCAAAACAGGAGGAGATGAAGGATAGATGGACTGATAGGTGACATGACAAGGCAGCTAGGGAGGTGGGTGGAGGGCTGGCATTCAGGGGCATGAAAGGAGGGAGGAAAAGGAAGAGGCAGAAACCCAAGTTCCCTCAGCAGCATCCTGAAGGGAAATGAGGATGGGTAAGGGATCTCTGAGAACTGGGGATGTGACTCAGCCCAGGGCCATAGAAGCCTGAGATTGGGCAGGGCTATATGTGCTGGATGTGGACAGGGGAGGGTATGGGGGCATCTTGCAGCCATTCATCCTCATGGACTTACTCACCTTCAGGGCAGGAGGCCAGTTTGCCTGGGGTGGTGACACTGACACACGAGAGCTTTGGTGTTGGGGCAAAGGGCTTATATTCTGAGTAGAAAAGAGAAAGGGGTATTGTCCATGATCCCTCCCCCCGATAATCCCTTTCCAGATACTCTTCTACCTCAGAGGGCTCATTGTGCCCCCAGTCAGACTGTTCTCTGGCTGTGTGATTTGGAACAAATGAAAAATTTTAAAGTTTGATCTTCCCATTTGTAAAATTAAAGTAATAATTGTACTTACTTCATAAAGTGGTCATGAGGATTAAATGAACTGATCAACATAAAGATTTACGTTTTACCTGATTCTTAGTGAGTGCCCACAAATTATAGCTATCACCATCACCATCATCATAGACAGTAGCATCATCATTTTGGAAATCTGAACTTTTAGTTAGAAGTCCAAAAATAGTTGGGGGAGTGGAGAAAGCCCTGAGCAGGAATATTGGGGGTAAGTAGATTGATTAGAGTTTGCAAACTGGGGATGGGTTGGAGAAGTTATAGTTTCATAATAAGAAGTATGAGCAAAGGTTATCCCTCCCTCCTCAGCCCCAGCCAATTACCCAGTTTGTTGAGTGCTGCCTTTATCTTTTCATCCACAATCCTATGTAAGGAACATTGAGCGTCCCCTGGGGTCATTAGCCGCACGAAGGGGATGAACATGAGAAGGAAGCAAGAGGCAGGCTTCATCCTGGAGAAAGGCAATGTCCTGGTGCTGGGAGGAAAGATGCAAAGAAGCTGAATCTCTGAGCTCTACAGTGATTGGGAGGAAGGGAAGTGAGAAGTGAATAGTCTCCAGAAAGTGAGAATGGAGGAAAGATAGTGTCAGTAAGGAGGAGCTTGGAGAAGCCAGAAGGATGGCTGCAGAGCAGATTTACTCACCAAAAAATTCAGACAAAGCCTGCAAGGAATGACCAGGAAAAGATATTTTATACCCTGTGTACTGACCTGGATGCACATCTTCAATGCAAATGTATGCACACACATGCACATCCACACACAAGCCCATTTTCAAAGCCTGGGGTGTGTCCATGATAAGCAACAGCTGCCTTTGCTCTGACTCTCTGCCAAGAGGAGTCCTTTTGCCTTTCTGTTCTTTCCTCTTTCCTCTTCTTGGCAACCTGGTAAGATTACCACCCCACCCAGACCATCTAGTAGCTCTATATTACAGATGTCTTGTTTGATCCTCTACCAGGAAGAGGTTACTTTGTGGTCTACTAAAGTTGTCACCTGTTTAGAGATCATTTTATTGTCCCTGGTAAATACCATCTGTGGGAAAGTAACAGAAAATATGATTAACAGTGGCTTAAAAAATTTTTTTACTCCTTACTTGGGCAACACTCTTTACTCAAATACATTGACATATTTGCTACAAAATGTATGCATACTCATATAAGGGAGCTAAATAAAGATCATAAGAAGAGACTACCAAGGGTAGGAAGGTGGGAGTGTTTTCCCAGGATGCAGGCAAGAAGCAGGGTACATTGTCTGTAGGGAATTTAAAGACAATAATAAAATCCAATAAAGGCAATTTTATTTTTATTATCACCATGTACTAGCCATTCTAAATAATGCTGATGAGAAAATACTCTTCCCCAAAACATTGTGTGTCAGTCTAAGTTCTAAACAATTGAAAGATTACTGTCGAGATTAGTATGCATACACAAGCTTCAAATTAGCACATTTTAATTACGGATCTTTCAATAAACATTGTGTTTTATAATTTAGTTTAATTCAGAGAACTTCCATTTACACAAAAACTCACTGTTGTTGAGTCGGACCTGACTTATAGCGAAACCTCCTTGGTTTTCCGAGGAGGTATCACTACAGAAGTAGATTGCCCAATCTCTCTTCCGAGAAGTGGCTGGTGGGTTTGAACTGCCAGCCTTGTGATTAGCAGTCAAATGCCTTGGGCACTGAGCCATACAGTTGACCCCTTATGTATTAAGCTGTAGCTACAAGGTTCCACTTTTCAAAGCAAGACCGTGCAGTTCAGTATCATTCAGGTTTGTTTTATATGGTTCTTGTCTCCAACCTCTATAGTGTTACATATTCCTGCATTTAAAAATTCCTAAAGATTTAAAAGATTCTAAATGAACAATGCTAGACCAGTGATTTTAAAGACAAAGAAACGGAAATTAAATTTCTTCAATGTAGTCATTCTAGATAATTACTTAGAACTTAATTGTGTTTAAAATTTAAACCAGTAAAACAGACTGCAAACTGGAAGACGTGACATTTGTTTTGTAAATGCAAATTTTAGTTCATACATAAAACGTTTCACTGAACGTGAATAAATCCAGCAACCAAACTCATTGCTGATGAATCGATTGCAACCCAGAGTGACCGACCCTCTAGAGTTTCCTAGGCTGTGATTTTTAAGGCAGCAGACTGTCCCATCATTCTCCCATGGGGTGGCTGATGAGTTTGAACTGCCAATCTTTTGGTGAGCAGCTGAATGCTTAATCACTGTGCTATGATCAAATATGACTTAATGCTTTCACCATGTCTACTCTCCTCTAAAAGGCCCCATTTTGATATAACTCTTCAACTAGAGGTTCAGAAAAAAAGCCTTGATCTTTCACTACTCTCTCCTCTCCTCCACATTCAGTCCATCAGTAAATCCTATGGAGGCCCAAACTTCTAAACAACCCCCAATCCATCTAATTCTCACTTCTCCCCCTACTAGTGTCTGAGATCAGCATTCTGCAAAATCCTGCTACTTGGTTTCCTTGTTTACCTGTTTTTTCTTTTCCACAAACAGTAAGCTTTTTAAAACATACAAGGTCTCATGTCACTCCCCAGACAAAACACTCCAATAATTTCCTGTCAAATTGCAATGAGACCCAGCCCCCTCTCTTACACTGGTTTATAAACTCTGTATAATCTGGGCCTGGTTATGTCTCTGACTTCTTTTCTGACTTCTCTTCCCCTTACTCTCTCCTTCCTGGCACCACTGTTGTTGTTTTATTCTTCAGCTATCTCTCTGCCTCAGGGTTTTTACACTTGCTTTCCCCTTAGCCTGGAACAATTGTCTCAGATGTTCGTATGGTTCCCCCTCACTTCTTTGGGTCATTGCTCACAAGTTACTTTTTCTGAGATGCCTTCCTTGAACATACTCCATTATGTACACAGCAGCACAGCACACACCCTATTGCCTTGCCTTGACATATTTTTCTTCAGAGCATTTTCAACTTCTGACATATTATATAATATAGGTCTTTTTATTGTATATATTTATCTCCCCCCATTAGAATGTAGTCTCAGGAGGACAAGGGATTTTTCTAATTTTTGCACTGCTGAACCACGACATACATTTGTATTGTGATGTTGGCAAAGAATGGTGAATATGCCATTGACTTACAGAAGAACAATAAATCAGTCTTAGAAGAAATGCAGTAAACTACTCCTTAGCAGTGAGGATGGCAGGACTTTGGCTTGCTTACTTTGGACACGTCATCAGAAAAGGTCAATAGCTAGAAAAAGACATCACATTTTTGTAAAGCAGAGGGTCAGTGAAAATAAGAGAACTGCTCTGTAAGACAGATCGACATGATGATTGCAACAATGGGCTCAACCATACCTATTTTGAGGATGATGCAAGACAGGCAACACTTCGTTGTGTTATACATAACATGGCCATGACTTGAAGCTGATGGCTGGCAGATAACAACATTCACTGTGACGAAGAACCTTCAAGTACCACTGGCTTAACTCAGGATTTATTTTTGGTTCAAGTTACAGTCCATGTGTGTGGTAGTTAAGATTGTGTCTTAACTTGGCTAGGCTGAGTTTTGAGCGGCTAGGCAGCTGGATGTGATTCCTTGTGATGAGACTGGTAATCAGTTCCATGGTGGAATCTACTGTAAGAAGCTAAGTAGCTGCCTTGTGGATGTGGTCTGTTTCCAGTACATAGTAAGAAGGTTTGAGAAAGGTTTTTAGCTTTTTGGCATGCTTGGACCCTGTATTTAGCTGAGTCTTTATTCAGCAGCCTGCCATGTTACCTGCAGGTTTTGGGACTGATTCTGGACTTCAACTAGTGGCCTGCTGCTTGATAATCTTGAGACTATGCCATTTTATTGGTTGACCTTGGGTTTGTCAGCTTCAGAAGCCAGCAGCTGCCTGAGTTAAGAGATGCCTCCAACTCCAGTGGGGCAGGAGCACGAGGCAGAGCTGAAGCCCAAGGTCAAGGGGACTTCACCCAGCTGCTGGGGCCAGCACTTTGAACTTGGACTTCTAGCCTCCTAAACTGTAAAAGAATAAATCTTTATTTGTTCAAGCCATGCATTTGTGAATTTTTCTGTTAGAGTTGAATGCCTCTGCATAGTCAATAAAACATGACTAAACATCTTTCTGGAAGCAGCAGTCAGGACATTAGACGACGTGTAGCATTGGGAAAGTCCACTGCAAAGGAACTGTATCAAGTGCTGAGGAGCAAGGATATCTCCTTGAGGACTAAGGTGCGCTTGACACAAGCCATGACATTTCCAATTGCCTCGTATGCATGTGAGAGCTGGACAATGAATAAGGAAGACCAAAGAAGAGTTGATGCTTTTGAGTTGTGGTGCTGGTGGAGAATGCTGAAAGTACCATGGACTGCTCAAAGAACTAACAGATCTGTCCTGGAGGAAGTGCAGCCAGAATGCTCCTTGGAAGCAAGAATGGCCAGACTTCATCTCACCTATTTTGGTCATGTTGTAAGAAGGGACCATTCCCTGGAGAAGGATGTCATGCTTGGTAGGGTGGAGGGTCGATGAAAGAGGGGGAAGCCTTCAACGAGATGGACTGATACGGTGGCTGCAATGATGGGCTCAAGTATAGCAGGGATTGTGGGGCTGACGCAGGATCGGGCAGTGTTTCGTTCTGCTGTGCATGGGGTCGCTATGAGTCAGAAATGACTCGATGGCACTTAACAACAACAACAACAACAAACATCTTTCTGATAGTCTTTGCTTTTAGCCAAGATGCATTTGACATCAGCAATGATATCCCTTGTTCCATGTGCTCTTCTGAAACTGGCTTTAACTTCTGGTAGTTCTGGTCAATATATGGTTGCAAATGCTTTTGAATTATTTGTAGTAAAATTTAACTTGAATGTGATACTAATTATATTGTTTAATAATTTCTGCATTATATTGGATCACCTTTCTTGGGAATGGGCATAATAAGGATCTCTTCCACTTGGTTGGCCAGATAGCTATCTTCTAAATTTCTTGGCATAAATAAGTGGATGTCTCCAGTGCATCATCCCTCTGTTGAAATATCTCAATCAATGGGGGTTCCCTCAACTCCTGGACCCTTGTTTTTCAGCAGTTCCTTCAGTGCAGCTTGGACTTCTTCCCTCAATACCATCACTTGATCATATGTTATCTTCTGAAATGGTTGGAAGTCGACCAATTCTTTTTGATACAGTGACACTGTGCATTTTTTCCATCTTTTGATGCTTCCTGCATTGTTCAATATTTTGCCCATGTTGTTGTTGTTATGTGCTATAGAATCCTACAATATTGCAATATTTTCTGCTCCTATGACCTACAGAACCTGGTCTGCCTGGTTAGTGAACTGTAATTCTTGTTATCATTTTTAAGCACTCATGTTTATAGTTTACTACTTGTCTATAGGAAAAAGAGGCCGGCCAATAACATAATAATAATAATGCTATTGATAGGTGCTGTAGAATTGGTTTCTAC